GGGCTCGTCAGTTCGTCAGATTCCATAACAAATAAGGCTCCGCACTTTACTCTCTTGGAGCCCATTAACGTACGGAATACCCATCATCTGACGGCAATTTAAGCCATCCACTCCAATCAGAGTAGTATTGATCATCCTTGCTAAAGAGTTTCGCTTATCACCTGGCATCTCGTAATAGTTGGCGGCTTATAGCACGTGTGACCCCGTTGATTATTGTCTGTGTGGGTGGATGGTCCCTTTAGTCCTTGTCCATCGACCTCAGTGGGACGTAATCTCGGAGACCTGCTTGACTTCGAAGTATTTAACACTTAGCTGTCCCATTGCGGTACCTGATCTATATTTATCAATTTGCCCATTGCAATAGACATATTAGACGCGCTCAGCAAGCGACTACCGAGTAATGTGAGATTGTTTAGGTCGCAGCGCATCAAAGCACCACCAACTTTCCTCCATCGACAGCTAAAGGAAGAGAAAGAGTCAACGAATGCTATGAACATCGACTCATTTACTACGGAGTACACCTGAATATAGAAAATATGATTTCATTCTTCTTATCATCATAAAGTTTATCAACTTCAAAACCACTCTGAAACGATCTGTCACATTTTCCAGCTCTTCTTTTCTTCTCCCCCTCCATCCCTCGCCTGGAGGTCGCGTGGAATTTCCCCGCCGCCGCTTGTCGGATCTTGTTGGGTATTTCCGCTCAGCCTGGTTCATCAGCCCTCCAGGGATCAAAGTTGCCGGCCGATCCAGACGCAGCCGCCAGCGCAGCACGTCGACGTGATCCCTGAACGTCAGCTGTGACTCTGTCCTCTATTGACCGTCTACATCAGTACCCTGACGACCACCGACGGTTGATTCTCTTACCAACTTGTCGGACTGGTCTCGCCTGTGCAACAGGTTCCTGTGCCTCGCAAGGGAACACGGACTCGATTAACTTACGCCGGTCCTGCAAAACACTCCCACAAGACTTTGGCACCGCCTTCTCTTTCTTTGTCACTCACTTATCTTAAGGTCTTGAAGGTATGAATCATTTGGCTCTTATTCAATTGTCCTGTTGAATCGCTATCTCGTCTTTTACCTGGCGTATTTGCCTCCTTCCCGCCAGCCTCCCCCTACTGTTATCCCTTAGTGTCCCTTTTCCCTCCTCAGAATGAATGACACCCCTAAGGCTACGATTACTGGGCTACGCTCTGATTTGCATCATTCAATCGCTTCATCATGCTCTAGTAGTAAATGATTGCTGACTTGCTGAATTCCGACGCGCAGCGCTTGGCCGCTCCGACCGTATTCATTTCGCAACTATTGTCATCTCCTTCCCTTGAGACAAATCTCACGAATTGAACCGTTTTGGAAACATTTCTGATCTAGCAGGAATAACTTCCGTGCATTGAACCAATCGGCATCTCTTACTCGTTGCGCTGTATCATTTAGACGTCTCCGTTACGACTCTCGGAGCGGATCAACCCAGGAACAAAAGTGTGCTTGCGATACCTTACTTGTTTTCCATGACGATTTTCTCTCGGATCTATAGTTCAAGATGTTTTGGCGCTTCGGGGGATACGCGAGTGTCTCCGCTATTGATACCCTGCTCGACAAGCCTGATGTCAGTCTCGAAGAGCTGTTGGACGAGTCAGAGTTGATCCAGGAGCTCAAGCAACATAATACAAAACTCATAGAATATCTACGAGAAGATAATGTCTTGAAACGCCTGATGGACTACGTGATTGCACCCAGCCTGGTGAACGAGGATGATGATGACGACGAGGACGATTCGAACGACTCTAATGCCCCTCAAACGAATAAAGATGCTTCAACCGAAGGAGAGAAGAAAGTCGACCCGCTGAAGGAGATCTTGGATCCTGAAGATCTGGACCGAGCTGAGAAGAACCGTCTGAAACATGCGTACATCGCGTGCGAAATTCTCTCGTCTGAAACATGGTCGATATTGGAGTCAATAATGGCGAACACAAGCTACCTGCGCGACTTTTGGGGCTTTGTGAGGAGACGACCATCTCTGGATCCTATCCAGGCGGGCTACTTTACGAAAGTCAACGAAACGTTGTTTGATCGAAAGACCAGTGAGATGCTGGAGTTCTTCAAGTCTTTGGAGGGTATAGTTCCGGCGATCCTCCAGCATGTCGACAATCCCATGGTCATGGACCTCTTGTTGAAGATTATCAGTCTGGAGAAGGCCGAAGGAGGCCAGGGAATTGTGGATGTGGGTTCATCAGAAAATAGTCCCCTGCATTTTTATGGTCCAGACTGACACCCATCGCAGTGGCTGAAAACACAGAACCTGATTCCTATTCTTTTGTCCTTCTTAACACCTGAACATCCAGCCTCCGTGCAAACCTCTGCAGGGGACTTTCTCAAGGCCATTATCACTATTTCGGCAAATGCGACTCAGAACGACCAATCCTGCATTGGACCCAATAGTCTCACTCGCCAGCTCGTCTCCGCGCAGTGCGTAGAGACTCTAATCACGGCCATGTTGCAAGGTGGAAATCCGTTGACAGTGGGCGTTGGTATCGTAATTGAAGTTATTCGGAAAAATAACTCGGATTACGACCCAGAGACCATCGGTGGCCCTGATTCGCCTCCTACGACATACGACCCTATCTATCTGGGCAACCTGCTACGGATTTTTGCCAAACATATACCGGACTTCATGGCACTGATTCGAAGCTCCAAGCATACGATCAATGACAATGGAAAAGTACGAAGTGTGGAGAGAAGACAGCTTAGTTCTGCTTGGGGCGCTAAAATTGAGCCTCTCGGCTTTGACCGTTTCAAGACATGCGAATTGATGGCAGAGCTATTGCACTGCAGTAACATGGGTCTTCTGAACGAACCCGGAAGTGATGAATATGTCCGCCAACGCGATGCTGAACGAGAGAGACTGTTCCGCGAAGGTGCCTTCAATCCGCACAAAGACTCGTCTGCTCTCGAAGGCAACGATTCCACCGCAGACTTTATCAATGGTTCTGTTATTGACTCCGGCTCCCCTGAGGATTCTCGAGTCATTGAAATTTCGAACGCTGGTGAGGATGGGTTCGAGGATGTCGATTCTTCTGGCGTCCTGGTCGACAAGGAGAAACTCGCTGAGAGAAAGGAACCTGATAGTCAGCAGACGGAGCCGGAAGTGGGTGATGAACCGAGAACATCAGCCACAATGGAAGACGAAGTAAAAGATGCCGGCGAAGCCAATGATCATGCCGAAGCTGAAATCGACACAAAAGAAGGAAACAGCTCCGACAGGGATCTCCCGTCTACAGTGTCTGACCTAACAGACCAACTCGATGCAATGGATTTGGGAGACCAACGGGCCTCCGAGGAAACCACGGCCCAGGAAGATGTCGGAAAGTCTGAGACTCTCCCCTCGAATGACTCGGATACTCCCTCTGCTGCACAAATGTCGTCCGACCCCGAAGCCGTACCAGCGCCTCTGTTCTCCAAAACCCAACAAGAGAAGGAACCAGTAGCGTCAACACCTGATACTGCTGGCCAGGTCGGGAATGCTCAAGATTCCACGAACCCTGAATTAGAATCGGTGCCCTCAGACACCGATGCTGAAGACGTGCGGGCACACATCAATTCCTACGTTCAGCTCGATCCGAACGGCCAGCCTGTCGTTGGTGATTACCTCAAAATTATGTTTGTGAAGAATCAGGTCGTACCCACAATACTGGTAAGTTAGCCCGCGCGACATAGGCAATGACTCGGAATCTGACCCCTGCGTGTCCTAGGATTTCTTCTTCCGCTTTCCATGGAATAACTTCCTTCACAACGTCGTGTATGATGTTGTTCAGCAAGTTTTCAATGGACCTATGGAGCGCGGATACAACAGATGTCTTGCGATCGATCTTTTTGAGACAGGGCGCATTACGCAGGCGATTGTTGCTGGACAAAAACGAAGCGATGAAGCGCAGCGGACGCAACGCATCAGACTCGGCTACATGGGACATCTTACCCTCATTGCGGAAGAAGTCGTCAAGTTCAGCGAGCGTCATCCGCCCGAACTACTTTCTCCTACAGTGGTGGAAAGCGTCTTGAACCCGGAGTGGATCGATTACGTGGAGCAAACTCTTTCCGAGACGCGAGAGCGAGATAACGCAATCCTCGGCGGTGTACGACCAGATATGGCTATTGGGCACCGTCAGGGCCTGCTGAATCAAGGTCAAAGCATGAACGCTTCTTCAGCACTCGCCGAGGCTGGCTTGAATGGCGGCGTCAGCAATTCAGGCTTCCAAAACTTCGACATGAACCAGGGCAGTGTTTCTGGTGGCGCTTTTGGTCTTGGTGGCGGCAGCAGCTCTCTGCTGAGCGGCTTTGGAAGCTCCAGCGACGATGAGGATGAGGAAATGGAAGAACAAGACGACAGAAACTTAACCGAGCAATCCGCCGAAGGTGGTTCTGAAAATGTGGGTGATGATTTATTTACTGACGTTGACATGAACGATGCATGAGAGCTCGCACTCGAATTCTCCCCCAAATTACTCCGTACCCCCAGTTCTACTCCATTTCCACTTCCCCTCCCTGATCAATCTTGTCTCTCATCAAACGGTAGATGAAGACTGGCGCCGCAAAGGTGTTGATAATGAAGGAGATTTGAGGTCATTGGGGAACATAAGATAGAGCGTGTATCTTCAGCGCTTCTTGTCCATGTACAGACCCATTTCGGGGATGAATCCCCCGAGGTCCTGCGGCACCCGTCTGAACAGATGGTCTAGTCGGATATTTAGCCCTTTGGCTGCTTCTTCACGCATTGATATACAAACTTGATTTCATGCATCTCTAGAGGACCAGCTGCATTTGAATGATGGCCGATGATGGGTTGTGGACTTCTGGGTTTGTTCTCAATCCCTGAGTCACTCAGTTGTCTGGACACTGTTCTAGCCCGGATGACTTGACTCATGCAGACCCTCTTTCGCCCTGCCTTCATAGTTGACTCTATCGCTTTTGCTGTAATACAAGCCACAGCACTTGCTGACGTCGTTATGAACTTAGGCATCTACGAACTCAACAAGTCAACCTATACCAATTCTTCCTCCACCTCCTGCTCCCCTCAGCCTCGGACCGTCTCGCGCGCGACGGCAGCTGGCAGCACGGCTTGCCGCCCAGAAACAGCAAGCTGCTGAAAATGGCGGCAATGAAGACGAGCCTCAAAACCAAACTAACCAGCATGAGAATGGCGATGTTCAGTGGCCATCCAACCCTTTTGTGATTGCGGGCTTGGACGATGACGGTGATGGTACGGACTCGCCTTCCCGAGCCGCTTTTCCCTCCAGCGACTTTCCACATACGCGCAAGGATGAGCCTTTCTCATCGCCTACTTTTCCCGAATCTGGCTTCAGCCCACCGGATTCGATGTCCACTAATTCCTCCGATGATGACGGGGAAGGCAGGGTAGATATGAGGCGCAAGGAACGTGTTCCCCTGGAAGTTGATGACGATGAGGATGACATGGGCGAGATGGTCGGTCCCTCACTTGGTTCTGAAATGCTCGACTCAGATGAAGAGGACGAAGCTATCATGAACGAATCTCTAGGATACCCAGATCTCGGGCCTGGCCGCTACAGGAGCTTCCGAAGATCACAGTTCGGTCCGTCTCCTTTCGGGGACGACGATGACAATGACAGCAGTGACGGAGAAGATGATGGACTGGTCGAAATCTTAGTTCCTGGGAGAAAGTCTTCCACGACTTGACCACGGATGGATATGGCCAAGATTGTCCTCTAGAATTTGTTGTCTGCGCTGGTTTGCTGTGCATTTCATTTCCTGGCGGTAATTGTGTTTGGCATTCTGGGACGCATGGACTATTTCTTTCTCTTTTTCATGACGATGTACACTATCTGAATGTGCATGACCTTGTATACTGTCGACAGCGGAATAGAGATGGCCTTCTCTAAACAGGAAGATCTTGGCATTAGATTACCTCCATGTGGCCGTGCCCTGTTCTGAATGGTGATATCTGCTTCTAGCGACTGACCAGTGTCGTCGCAAGCGCAACATTACCGGCGTTTCTTTTCCCACTTAAATGCCTCTATGTTTGTTGATATAGCCTGCTGTCTTTTCGTCTCTTCTCTTTACTGGACTTTGTACGATAATCCAGCGGAATCAATTCATTGATTTTTGCGGAGTATATTGTCAGAATTTGACACTCTATGATTGACGGCTATAGGGCTAAAGAACTAAAAACAAACGTCTAAATCCAAAATTATAAGAATGTATTGTAGAGCAATCAATTCTGGCCGTCATGTCTATACCTATTCCACGGGCTGTTGTTTGCTTGCTTCCATGACTTTGAGACGCCCCAAAAAAAGTGGGACGCCGCATTTCATCATCCCAATTGCCCCTCCGAACAATTAATTGTATGAGCTCTCCTTGTCCATCGTCCACGTCGCCACGATCTTAGACTTTCCCTTGAGAACAGCTGCGAGGGTCGCGAGGGCTGCCTAGTCGGGTAGAGAGGGAAAGATTCGCTAGTTGGTTTGAGCACCATGACGGACAGTGGTGATCGTTCAGCGTTGCTGCCACCGGGGTAGGTTGAAAGCTCGAATTGTCGTGTTTTGCTATGCTGCATAAAATCATTCTCGCGGCGATGACACTTTATCTTCATATACAATCCTATAGCTTCTGTTTGAGGGGGAAGTAGGAAGCTGGATGTCTCTATTCTTGATGGCGCACTCTTGCCCTTCCGCTTTCGCATTTTGATGGGACAAACCCTTTTTCATTATCTCTCTTTGTTTCTGATTCATATCGCCCAAAGTTTGTCACTATGTCTAATGAAAGCGTCTAGGGCAACTGGTGATGAGGACCTAGAGAAATGGATCACACTCGTGGAATGGATGACTAGCAATGGCGGCTACCTGCACGAAAGTGTTCAGATCGCCAAAGACGAGCAACGAGGTGTTCATTTCAATGTCAAGAAAGACTGGAAAGATGGTGTCGCAAAGGACACGCATATCATCAAGATCCCAGTGGCCGCAACGATGTCGTACCTCAACCTTGTCGAACATCCTCTTCCAGCCGACAAGCAAGGCAATGGGACGGCCACTTTCTCTGCTCATGGGGTGCAGCTTCCGCGCGATTTCGTCGATGCTGTTGGACCCCATGAGTCTTCTATTTTCTTCTTGATCGGGCAGTATCTGAAGGGCTCAGAAGGGTTCTGGTTCCCGTATATTCGGACGCTTCCTCAGCCACTCTCCCTGACTACGCCATTGTATTATGAGGGGGGTGATCTGCGGTGGTTGGATGGGACGAGTCTGGCGCCGGCTAGAGAGCAGAGGATGGGGGTGTGGAAGGAGAAGTACAAGAATGGGATTACTGAGCTTCGGAAGGCCGGCTTCCAGGATGTTGATCAGTACACATGGTATGTGTAGACTGTTGGCCACCTCCTTTCTCTATTTGATTCTAGCTACTTGGCGCTACCCTGCAAAATAGTGTATTAACGAATCCCACGATAGGGACCTCTACCTCTGGTCTTCGTCCATTCTCGTGTCGCGGGCGTTTTCAGCCAAGGTGCTTGCCGAGGCAGTTACTGATGTGGAGCTGCCTGAAGATGGTGTGTCAGTGCTCCTGCCCTGCATTGACTTGATGAACCATCGGCCTCTTGCAAAGGTAGAATGGCGTGCTGGGAAGCAAGACGTAGCCTTTGTGGTGCTGGAAGACGTTGGCTCCGGGCAGGAAATCTCGAATAATTACGGGCCTCGCAATAACGAACAGTGTAAGTCGCAAGTGGAATGACCATATAACAGATTGAAAACTAACCTCATCCCAGTGATGATGAACTATGGCTTTTGCCTTCCAGATAATCCATGCGATTATCGGATCGTCAGCTTGCGAGAACCTCCAGGTAGCCCTCTCGACCAAGCCAGATCATATCAGCAACAGATGTATCCCGAGCGACCCAAGGCCACAGAGAATCATTACTACGTGTTCAATATCTTCTATCCTCTTCTTGCACCAGACACTGCCATGGAACATTCAATCTTCTCGCCAGCCCTTTTCAATGCCGTTTCCGTACTTGGCGCGAATAACAGGGAGCTAGAGACCCTTGAAATCACCGAGCAGGACATCCGAATCTCAGATGCATATGGCAACTCGCGGACGATCCTAGCCGCTCTCAGTCAGATAATCATTGAATTAATCACACATATTGTGAAGTTGAGGTCTTCATCGGAAGGCCTGGGAAATCCCGAAAACATCAAACAGACACATGCGAAGATCTACCGCGACAGTCAGATCCGCCTGTCCGAGACAGCTCTCGTTATTGCTGCCTGGACGCTCAACCGCGCACGGCAACATGATTATGATGGAAGCTGGGAAGCAACCAAGCGTTTGCTTAGCACTCATATGGCTCGTTTACCTGCGAAGAATTTCTCCGACGAGGTCAAGTCCCGTATACAAGTCAGAATTCTTGAACGGAAATCGCTCCTTGCGAACAACGGCGAACTTTTTACCTTGAAAGAATTGTCCAGCGTTCTTCCTGCTGAGATACAACGGCCTTGCAAAGTGTTCTTCCAAGAGGTCTTGAGAAACTCTGAGAAGGCAATACCCGTGCTGGAAGGAAGCGACGAGGATTCGCCTTTTGCCTTCCCAATGTTCTTGTGTTTCGTGGTTGCCGCCCACAAGAACACATCGGCTGATAAATCACGACTTTCCGCAAGACTGTCTACATGGGCTAGCTTTCTACTTGAGAAGTATCCACCGCCCCCAGAAGATGTGGCATGGATGCTGGAGGATGAGGAAGATGAAAAGATGGTCAGCTTGTTCGACGACATGCTCGACCAGATGAGGGATCAGATTCCAGACATCTTCTCCAATCTAGCTTCGTTCACCGGAGACTGGAAAACAGATAACTGGTGGCTCTCTCCGAACTGGTTGCGATGGGCCTGGATGGCTACAGAGGAGGAATGTGTGCAGGCGCCTGAAGATCCCTTGGCCTTGTTACGATCAGGAGGACCAGGTCAAGGCTCGCTGATGCTGTCTACAGTGACTTATCTGTATATTCCGCAATAGATCGTAGTGGAATCAGAAAATCAAGAATGCTGGAAATCTTAATAGTAACCCATATATGACTAAGCGTAGAGCACGTGACTACTACGGACCAATCAGCGGGTCGCCAAAGGCGGATATTCAGCAAGCGCAGGAATTGCCGCGCCGTGAAGCTCAACGACGGTGATCATCCCCAATTGACCTTCCACCTCTCTCCTCGAGACAATCCCTCTATCCCGTGTCAATTCCCAGCAACTGGGCCATCTACCACCATGATATCTCGAGCGGCGGCTCCGTCGCCTTCCTCAATCGCCAACCTCTCCTCCCGCTCTCTCCGCGTTCAGGGTTCGGCTGCCCGCTCCTTCGCCAGTGTCCAGGACACCACACACCCCGTACGGCATCATGGCGGCCTGCGGGACCAGGACCGGATATTCACAAATCTTTACGGACATCATGGCGCTGATTTGAAGTCGGCAATGAAGTTTGGAGACTGGCACAGGACTAAGGACATTGTTTTGAAGGGTCATGACTGGGTACGCTTGTCCTTTGCAGCCACCGAGGACATTCTGTGGTCATGCACTCGTTTGCCGGGTTATACTGGACTTTGAGGCTAATGTGTTGTGCTTAACTTCTCTGCAGCTGATTTCCGAGATCAAGGCCTCTGGTCTACGTGGTCGTGGTGGCGCTGGTTTCCCCTCGGGTTTGAAATATGTAAGTCCTCCACCGTGCCAATACGGTGAACCTCGGGAAACCCATTAATCTCTTATCTGCATTAGTCTTTCATGAACTTCAAGGACTGGGATAAGGATCCCAGACCCCGATACCTGGTCGTTAACGCCGATGAGGGTGAACCGGGTACATGCAAGGACCGTGAGATCATGCGCAAGGATCCCCACAAACTGATCGAGGGTTGCCTCGTTGTCGGTCGTGCGATGAACGCCAACGCCGCCTACATCTACATCCGTGGTGAATTCTACCACGAAGCAACCGTCCTCCAGCGGGCCATCAACGAAGCCTACCAGGCTGGTCTCATCGGTAAGAACGCCTGCGGCACAGGCTACGACTTCGATGTTTACATCCACCGCGGAATGGGTGCCTATATCTGTGGTGAGGAGACCTCTCTCATCGAGTCGATCGAGGGCAAAGCCGGCAAGCCTCGCCTGAAGCCCCCCTTCCCCGCCGCCGTCGGTCTGTTCGGCTGCCCCAGCACCGTCACCAATGTTGAGACCGTCGCCGTCTGCCCGACCATCATGCGCCGTGGAGCCAGCTGGTTCTCCTCGTTCGGCGCCGAGCGCAACTCTGGTACCAAGCTGTTCTGTATTTCCGGTCACGTCAACAATCCCTGCACGGTCGAGGAGGAGATGTCCATCCCTCTGCGTGAGCTGATCGACCGTCACTGCGGTGGTGTGCGTGGCGGCTGGGACAACCTCCTCGCCGTCATCCCCGGTGGCTCCTCCACTCCCGTCATCCCCAAGTCCATCTGCGACAACCAGATCATGGATTTCGACTCCCTCAAGGACTCCCAAACCGGTCTGGGTACTGCCGCCGTCATCGTCATGGACAAGTCCACCGACATCGTCCGCGCCATCTCCCGTCTGTCCAAGTTCTACAAGCACGAGAGTTGCGGCCAGTGCACCCCCTGCCGCGAGGGAAGCAAGTGGACTGCCCAGATGATGGAGCGCATGGAGAAGGGCCAGGCCCGCGAGCGC